GTTCATGACGCTGCTCCTGCTCCCCAGACGCCCCCCTCCGAGACCACATGGGGCGACGGCGGGCGAGACCAGTGGGGCGGCGGCGCACGGAGGCCCAAAATCCTATTGATGGCGTCTTGTTCTTGAGCAGGGACCGACCGTCCCGGCATTCCTGTGGTCCTACCACGAAAGGTTCTTAGAACCCCAAACATGTTCTAATAACAAACACAACGTTCTTAGAACATAAACCCGATGTGTTAGACCAAGACAACATCAGCCAGAAATGTTCGAAGAACATGTCGTGTGAACCACAGAAGGCTCTTAGCACATTGTTTGGTAGGGCTACAGGCGAGCCAGGACGCTTCGCCACTGCTTGTCGGGAGCGGCCAAGAGGGGGGTGTCCAAGATAGGGGGGGTGCAAATCATGACCGGCGGCATGTGCGCGGCCCAGGAGGGGGGGGGGCTGGGGGCGTCATGAAGCAAGACGAGGTGCCATGAAGTCTGGGGAAATACCATGGCCCTCGCCATGATATCCCCCCCCCCCAGTCAGCACTCCCCTCTTTTCCGCCCCCGAGCCGGCCGGGGCCGGCCGGCCCGCCGGCGGCCCCTCTCGGAGGGGGAGGAGCAGGATGGAGAGGAGGAGGAGGAGGAGGAGCAGGAGGAGGAGGTGGAGGAGGAGGAGGAGGAGGAGGAGGAGTAGGAGGAGGAGGAGGAGGAGGAGGAGGGGGAGGAGGAGCATCTCCCCCCCCGGCCGGGGCCGCCGCCGCCGCGGACACGGCTGGGCGGCGGAGGGCGTGGAGGCCCCTGCCCCTCCAGAAGCCGACGGCCTCCTCGGCCTCCTCGGCCGGCGGTGCCGCGGGCCCGGCCTGCTGCGCCTCCTGCCCGAGGACACCTGGGGAGTACAGTCGGGGGCTTGACCGAAGGAACCCAAAATAAGGAACGAGGCCCTTTTTTTCCATGAGTTCAACTACGATTTCCGATCGAAAACATAAGGATAACCTGATGCAAGCTGCGACACACTTAAGGAACGCGGAGCCCCTCCCAAACGAAAAGGGTTCCTTCTTCGGGGCCCCGACTGTAACGTTCGGCTGGGCGACGACGACGAAGACGACGACGACGACGATGCTGACTGACGACGACGACGCCGACGACGCTGACAAGAACGCGAGGACGACGACGAGGACAACGAGATAGCGCGTCCCGCGGGTGCGTGGCTTGAAACAGATCCTCGGGGGGGGGAAGGGGGGACGTGAGGGGGGACTGACTCAGTGGGGGGAGCATCGACCTGGAATCGGCGATGCATCGCCGATGGATCGGCGATCGGCCCCCAGCAGCAGAGGGGGCGCATCGACAAAGAATCGGCGATGCCTCACCGATGGATCGGCGATAGGCTCCCGATAGCGGGGGGGCGCATCGACAAAGAATCGGCGATGCCTCGCCGATGGATCGGCGTTAGGCTCCCGAAAGCGGGGGGGGCGCATCGACCTGGAATCGGCGATGCATCGGCGATAGGCTCCCGAAAGCGGGGGGGCGACATCGACCTGGAATCGGCGACGCATCGCAGATGGATCGGCGATCGGCCCACAGCAGCAGAGGGGGCGCATCGACAAAGAATCGGCGATGCATTGCCGATAGATTGGCGATAGGCCCCCAACAGCAGGGGGGGCGCATCGACCTGGAATCGGCGATTCATCGCCGATAGATCGGCGTTAGGCCGCCAGTAGCGAAACCGCGCGTGCCTGGGCGGGTGGGCTATCGGCCCCCCATCGCCCTGAGCATGACCCCTGGCAACTTTCGGTTCATGACTCGGGCCTCTGGCGGCCGTTCGAGACGATCTAGGCACATCCGGAACGCTCTCAGCTGGTTGAAAGCATCCTGGGGCCGGAAAACCACCGAGAACGTCCGCAAACCCCAACACCCCTAACATTGCCCCTAGACGCCGTTCACAGCTGCTTCGCTGGTGACGCCGGCCGGCTCAAGAGCGTCCAGCTGCAGTCTCCTCGACGAGCCAGGCCAGGCGGGGTCCTCGCAGGGGCGCGCGCGCGAGTGCTGCCCGAGTACCCGTGCCGATTCTGACCTCTGCTTCGCAGGAGCCGGAACAGCGTGCGCAGCAGCGCAGTATCGGCCAGACGAGCGCACTCTGACGGCCGTCGTGGTGGGCCCGCACGATGGGCACCCACATGTGAAATTTACCTGGGCAGGTCAGATTTCTGAACAAAAAAAATGTCCGGGTTTCATTACCAGCCTCGAACCTATCCCTATCCCTAAGATTGACACGCCAAGAAGCGGTGACAATCTTAGGGATTCGCCCTCAAAAAAGAAGGGAATCCCTAAGGTTGGCATCGTGATGAGGAGGTGCCCAGCCTAGGGATAGGGATATGTTCCAGGCTGGTAAGTTCCGAATTCAAAGAATGTGTGCGGCCAGGCGACCCCCCCAGCGGGGGAGCCCGACACCCCAGCGTCGATTGGACCAGCCAGGGTAGGGCTCGCATCTGGGTCGTGCGCACGAGGCTATGGGCTCGACCAGCTGAAGCAGTGGCGCCGCCAGAGGCAGCCGAGGAGGCAGAGGCCAGGCCCGCGCCGGATCGCATCGCGAACTCGGATCGGATCGGACTGGAATCGCATCGGGATCGGGTCACCGCGCCTGGCCCGGAACGATGCCGGCGAATCGAGCCGAGCCAGGTCGAAGTCGCGGCCCCCGCTGGCGACCCGAGTCGCATTTCGCACCGAGTCGTCGGCCGCCGCAGCAGAGGTGGAGGCGAGGGGAGGGACAGGCCGAGCATGGTGCCGCATATCGGGAGTCGTGTGCGCCTGGGGTCGGCGGAGGAACAGGGGGCCGGCGGCGGCGCGCGCCCTAGGGGTCTCCGCCTCCGACAGAACAACACGCCGCACCTCTTCTCCTGCTGCTCCTCCTCCTCCTCCTCTTCCTCCTTCTTCCTCACCGTCCCCCCTCCCCCTCCCCCTCCCCCTCCTCCTCCATCTCCTCTTCCTTCTCCTTCCTCCTTCCTCCTCCTTCCTCCTCCCTCCTCCTGCTCCTCCTCAACGTCCTCTCCTCCTCCTCCTCCTCATCCTCCTCCTCCTCCTCCTCCTCCTCCTCCTCTCCCGAACAATTAGGGCTCTTCTGGGCTTACCGCAACAATGACCACGCGACTGCTGTTGGTGGCTGTATTCCGCGTCGCGAGACTCGCTCGCACCATGTGCAGAATCACCCGTCAGGAAACGACTGCGGATTAGGACCTGGTCCCCTGGGGAAGGTGTCCAGGCCTCTGGGGGGGGCACGTGAAATGGGCCATGGAGACACCAAGAAATAAGACCAAATCCACGGATCCCCTTGAAGTTTAAATCAGGTCACGGTAAACGGTGATTCTTGGCGTCTGTGTCTATATTCCCCTCCTGCACACTGCAAACCACATCGCGACACCGGGAATCTGAACATACTTGTCGCGGGGACAGAGACAACAAGGGCGACGAGGGGAGCGAGGAGCCCTGATATCCGACGTCGTGTTTTTTGATGGTCCTGGGGACCCAGTCAAGTCAGGGCCCTCGAGGCCAAACATTGCCTCCGTAGCTTCTCTTGTTCCCAACCTGAGCATCTTGTAACCGGTCCCTACCCCCATGGGGGCCTGGGGCCCGCAACCCGATTTACCCCCCTAGATGGGGATATAGGCTGTTTCCATCGGGGTTCGAGGGGTCTGTCCCCAACTGGGGTGGTGGGATGGTCGGGATCGCGATTGGGATGGGGATAAGGACTGATTTAACGCTACTGACAAAACATCATGTGTTGAGATGGCTCCTCGTTGTGAATAAGCAGTGCGCGGGTCTCCCCCCAGCCCCTCCTTCTTCCTGTGCCCTCCACGTGCCCGATTCGGCACACCCTGGCGCGCTTCGCGGCCCCATGGTGAGCTCCACCTGCGGTCTCAGTGTGAGCCGTCGCATGGCTCTGCTGCCCCAATCTCGACACACACACACACACACACACACACACACACCGCGCACGCTTCGCGGCCCCATAAGAAGCTCCTCTAGGGCCCCAATCGCAGGGTGGGCGAGCCAGCGCCGTCCTTTCCGGCGCACCCCTCACAAGGACGCCTGGCGGCGTCGCCCACATTTCGGTGCACCCCGCGAGGATCATAAGGCAAACGACCTGCTCGAGCCCAAAACCTCGGACCTCGCTCCCGCCCTCTCTGCTGGCCGGAACCAGGCGCTGGGCGCCCTCAGACCCCCAGCTGGCTCCAATCCTCGATCCTCGAATCGAGCCTACGGAGGCTGCTGTGGACGCCCGAAATGGGTACGGGAAAGACGGGCACGGTGCCCAACAGCAGGCTTTGTACAAACCGACAGTCGACAGCGGCCGCTGTCGGGCAAGCTGCCTTCTCTTCCAGTAGGGCAAAGCCTGCGACGACACCGACAGCGAGCCCTGTCCAAAGCGAGAAGGAAATATTGAAGCGGCCAGGGGTCTGAGCTGGTTTGGCCCCGCAAACATCGGTCAAGAATGAGGGGGGTGGGGCCAAATCTGTCGAACATCGGTGCCCAAATCCCTCCCAGAGTCCAGCTGGAGCAATGCTTCACCCACGGTCCGTTTTTATCGGCCCCGGGGCCCGAAAACTGGGGCACCGAAAGAGGCGAAGACCCTCTCGAACCAAGAACCCGACGCCTCCCATCGCCGGAGCCTGGGCCACCTCAGACCCCCAGAGTCCTGACCCAAACGGACAAGACTCGGCGGCGAGCGGGGGGGGAAGTGAGAAGGAGAAGGCCTTCTCAGAAGGCTCGGACGTCCCTGAGCCTTCTGAGAAGTTTTCAAAGCCCTCTCCGAAGACAAAAACAAAAACTGTAGAGAAGGCGCGAGGGCTTCTGAGACGTCCCGACGCCTTCCGAGAAGGCCTTCTCCTGCTCACTTCCCCCCCTCGCTCGCAGCAGATCCTGCTCGCAGGAACCTGGGCCACCTCAGACCCCCCCGAGTCCTGTCCACAACGGACAAGACATGCTGTCAGTCGTCGTCCTCCTCCGCCCCCTCCTCCTCCCCCTCCTCCTCCTCCTCATCCTCCTCCTCCTCCTCCTTCCTCCTCCCTCCCCCTCCTCCTCCTCCTTCCTCCTTCCTCCTTCCTCCTTCCTCATTCCTGCATTCCTTTTCCTTATAATTGCTTTCTCCCTGTCGCACTCCGAGGCCAGTGTTTAGGGCGGTCCAGGCATTTCGCCTGAGACTCCTTCACCATTTATGACCCTGAAACTTAAAACATGGCAACAGCTTCACAGATGGAGGGCGGGTGGTTTTCAACATGTGGCTCTCGCCTTAGCGCCGCGCGCATTCGTTGTCAAAATTTGCAAGAATTCCGCGGATTGAGGGTGGTTCCTTTTTAAAGTGTGGCTCTCGCCTTAGCGCCGCGCGCACTCGTTTTATCAAATGTCAAGCGTTTCACGGATTGAGTGCGGTTCCTTAAAAAATGCGGCTCTCGCCCTAGCGCCGCGCACATCCGTTTTAAACATGTGCAATCGTTTCACGGACTCCCATGATCACCGTACCAGAAACTGTGTGTAGGAAGGATTGGAGAGTATGAGGGCGCAACAATTACGTTGATTCGCGGCGTTGAAATCCCAAGAATGGCGTGCAATTCAGGATCGTCAAGACGCAACAGTCAGGTTGATCCGTGGCGCTGGAATCCCGAGAACGATGTTTTGACATGCGCCAGGGTCTTCAAACGGTTGTCTTCCAACGAAGCAGTTCCCTCAGTGGAAATGAACCCTTGTAGGGGCCTATGAAGAGGGAGCTTGGAGGGAGGGTTTGTTCCAACATCGTCGACGACTCTTAGGTTTACACTGCTCCTCCTCCCTCCTCCTCCCTCCTCCTCCTCCTTCTCCTGCTCCTCCTTGCTCTTTCCTCCTCCTCCTCCCTCCTCCTCCTCCTCCTCCTCCCTCCTCCACCTCCTCCTCCTCCTCCTCCTCCTCCTCCTCCTCCTCCTCCTCCTCCTCCTCCTCCCCCCCCTCCTCCCAATTTCGATCGTGCCGGGCCGCGGGTCCCCGAGCGCAGCGCGGCCCGCTTGGCCGAGCCCCGCCGCGGACCCGCCGCGGCCGAGCGCCGCCCAGCACACCGCGCAGCCCAGCGCCACCAGCCCCGCGGCCGCCTCGGGGGGCGCTGCACTGCGCCCGCGCGCCCCCCGGTCGGCGGCGAGCGAGGAGGAGGAGGAGGAGGAGGAGGAGGAGGAGGAGGAGGAGGGGGAGGAGGAGGGGGCGGAGGACGACGACTGACAGCATGTCTTGTCCGTTGTGGACAGGACTCGGGGGGGTCTGAGGTGGCCCAGGTTCCGGCGAGCAGGATCGGCGGCGAGCGAGGGGGGGAAGTGAGCAGGAGAAGGCCTTCTCGGAAGGCGTCGGGCCTTCTCAGAGGCCCTCGCGCCTTCTGAGAAGCGTTTGAGACTGTGTTGGGGGAGGGCTTACAAGACTTCTCAGAAGGCCGCGGGGCTTCCGCGCCTTCAGAGAAGGCCTTCTCCTTCTCACTCCCCCCCCCCCCCCGCTCGCCGCCGACCAGTACATGTTCGCTATGTGGGGCAACTGTCTTGGACGCCACCACAAACTTAAGCAGTGCGAGAGGGAGGCGCTCGCCGGCGAGCGACCACTGTTTTCCAGCCCCCTGCCAAGTCCCGATCGTGCACCGGTGGCACTTGGCGGTTTACCAGAGGCGCCGTCGCTAGAAGAAATATATGAAATGTCGGCATTCCGCATCCAAGGCATTTTAAGGCGGCACCGCCGCCAAATAGTAGTTTGCGGCAATCGAGTACTTGACAGCAGGTGGCGACATCTGAACCCTGCCCAACCAAGCATCGGTTCTTCGGAATCGATGAAAAGCGGGGGTAGGCCTCGTTTTTCTCCACGTGTTCGAGGAAGTTCGAAGCTTGTCCCTGCTGCCCATGGAGTTGCCTGGATCGCTGCGCTACGCCATGTTGTATCTTGGGCCTGGTACAAACAGTTTTACATTACTGGTAGTGATTATTCCGTGCGCTAGTTTACCATACTTTTTAACTCATGAATCGTCCAACCTAAACAACATCGTGATCTCTGGGCTGATATTGCGACGGGGTTGCGACCAAGACGACGACAACTTCCGCATCCAGAAGAACACAGCACATTGTACGCTATCCAATATCCCAATTGCGGGGCAGCTATTCTTGGAACCGAACAAGTATGCTGATGCAGGTGCTGTCAGAGCTGCTCGACAGTTACCGGATCCTGAACAGGTACGACGACAACTGCTTGAATATTAGAAGCTTTGCTATATGATCAATTAAATGCCGTGGTCATCTTTGAGAAGCGTGCGAAAGTTTTGCAAGAGACGGGCAGAGACCAACATCATGAACGTTGTAAACATGCGCAAACAATGCGAGATACAGACCTGGAAGGCGATGATCCTTTCGCGCCAGATGAAAAGATGAGCATGATCCGTGGTCGCATTTCGGCATGGATCAAGTTGACGACGGAGTGAGCAATGCAATGCCCGAACCACCGCCGAATACGACAGCACCGCCAGCATCACCTTCGGCACCCTCGCGAAGATTGAGAAGCAAGTCGTCCCCGCTAACTTCCAGCAGCACATCAGCGACGAGACGTATTATGACACCAACAGTTGGCCAGACGGGCGGGTCTACCCTGCCTGAGGCGATGGCCATGAGTAAATCTACATGCAATTTACTGACCAAAAGTCCGAAGATGGCGATTCCTGAAAAAAATAGGACCCGGTCGAACCCAATCTTACTTGGAGCTTTACGCCGAAGATTCCAGAACTTATTGAGCATCGAAAGTGGACATATAAGCAGGCTCTCTTCCCAGCAGTGGTATGGAATGTCTCACACTTACGATGGGCAGCTGAGGATACACCGAAGGCACCAATGTCAATAGATTGGGCGGAGTTGACATTGGATGTTATTATACCTACTGGTCTTCCTCTTGCCACTCCTGAGGGAAACTCACAGATGGCCATACGTGATCGTATGGTGATGATTTTTCGACGGCAGCAACACGCACGGCGTTTCTCTGGTGTTACCGACTCGCTCCAAGAAACACAAAAGGGGAAATATGGGTTCTTACGCCGCTGGGTATCAGACAGGTTGCAGGCTTTCAATGCCGCCCAGTCTTCATAAAACATGGCCAAACAATGCGTGGTCTCTACTCAGAGGTGTTGGCAACTACTGACAAAAGTGCTGGCATACGTGCGGCACCCGTCTGGGGAGCTATACCAAAGTCGATCTGGACAGTGCCAAAATTGACCGAGAACCTAAGTGCAACCATACGCGATGCTGATCTTGCGTTGCGTGCTGCATCAGCGGCGCGTGAAAAGTTGGTATCGCGAAGAGGCCACACACGCAGACAGCAGCGAAGGCTACCAGAGCATCGGCGCAATGGAGTGAACAAGGAAAGCGTGACAATTAACATCTTCGAGTACGCGATGTTCTACCGGAACAGGAAAAGCCTGCTGCACAACAAAGAGGCAGCAGAACAAGGCGATCACATTCTGGCCCCGCTCAAAGGCAACGACAAGAAGCAAGACCCAAAGTTGGTATGTACCAAACTTGGACGAGAAAAACAGATAGCCCAGCTCACGGCATGGTCGAAGCAATTGTGTGGTCAAGAACCGCGACGCGTTGGCCACAGACGGAAGCAGACTGGGTAACAATGGTCGCTGATCAAAACGTGTGTACATTGAAACGTGGAAACCGTTGTCATATCCTCTTATATTTTTCCCCAAACCCTCCTTGGTTGGGTTTTCGTGTTGAATAAGGGACTGTGGTCTCCACCTTCTTTCCTCCCGCCTCTTTCCCTCATCCTGCGTACTGTTTCCTGCATTATTCCCAACCCTCCTTGGTTGGGTATTCGTTTTGAATACAGCACTGTTCGCGCGTCTCCTCCCGCCTCCCTCCTGCCTCCTGCCTGCCTCCTCCTGTATTGCCTGCGGGGGGCTGCGATCTGTGAAATTGTCGCTACTTTCGAAGCCTGCTGGGGGGCCCAGCACAGTGACGCCACGCGCGGGCCAAAATAGACCTCGCCATCCCTGGGGGGCTGCGATCTGTGAAACTGTCGCCGCTTTCGAAGCCCGCTGGGGGGCCCAGCACAGTGACGCCACGCGCGGACCCAAACTAGACCTCGCCATCCCTGGGGGGCTGCTAGCTATGAAACTGTCGCCACTTTCGAGGCCTGCTGGGGGGGGGCAGCACAGTGACGCCACGCGCGGACCCAAATTAGACCTCGCCATCCCTGGGGGGCTGCGATCTGTGAAACTGTCGCCACTTTCGAGGCCTGCTGGGGGGCCCAACGCAATGACGCCACGCGCGGACCCAAATTATACCTCGCCATCCCTGGGGGGTTGCTAGCTGTGAAACTGTCGCCACTTTCGAGGCCAGCTGGGGGGCCCAGCGCAGTGACGCCACGCGCGGACCCAAATTAGACCTCGCCATCCCAGGGGGGCTGCCATCTGTGAAACTGCCGCCACTTTCGAGGTCTGCTGGGGGGCCCAGCCAGTGACGCCACACGCAGATTCAAATTAGACCTCGCCATCCCTGGGGGGGCTGCGATCTGCGAAACTCTCGCCACTTGAAGAGTTGTACCTCGTAAAAGATGCAAGCGCGTTGCACATCATTTGCAAGGGGCGAAGCGGAAAGAAACAGCTTGCTCTCCACGAGACGCCCCTCATGCCTCGTGAGTTGCTCTCAGGCCCTCGATCACATCATCCTCGACCCGTTTTTGTTTCTGGGACCTCGCCGCAGACTCAAGTTCGACCTCGCCATCTTTCGGGGGCTGCGATATGAGATCCCCGCTTTCGAAGTGGCTATCAGGGATTGTAACTACGCAGCTTTATCTAGTCCTTGTCGTGTAGCCAGTGTCCTGCGAATCTCCCGGATTCCGTCTGCAGGCAGATGTACGCCTCGCTCCGTCATCGCCCAAGTGTCCTAAACTATTTGCGCCCCGCGTTTGCGCAGGGGTTGGGTACGTCGCCAGGGTAATTATCTGACGAAGGCGGGAAGGAGGTTAAATGTTCAAAGTGTGGTCAAGTATCTCCAACGCATAGTTGGGGTCAGTTCACGGCCGCCATCTGCGGCAGCCGCTGACATCACACACACGCACGTTATTCTGATGATGCCACCGCTTCACATGCTGTTCGGTGGCGCTAGTATGCAAATCCTGGCGATCTGGCGGTTCCAGGCTCAGTGCGTGCGCGACCAGCTCCCTGGGCACCCTCACCGCGGGAGGCGAGGGCAACGGCGCGCGGAGCTGGCGGGTACTGTTTGTTTGCGCCAGGTTGCAGCTCGAAGCAGATCTTATGCGTGGTTGCTGTGGGGGCACAGAGTTATAATCCTGCGCAGCTTGATACAGATGTGTCGTGGATTTTGTTGAGTTATGGAGATTTGGTTTGGCTGGACATGTCTCTTGTGTTGTTGGCCTACGTACTTATGGTTTCTGCAGCTTGAAGCATGTTACGATTTACTAGTGTGGAGACATGAAGAAGTACAATAGAGCAGCTCAGTACATTTCTTGAGCTGATATTGTGGAGCTATGCAGACATGCTTTGGCGTTGTATGCCTATGGAGATGCTGAACTATACCTACATACTTTGGTTCACAGCGGACGTGAGTCACGGTGAAGTCCTCCAGTACAGACACGGGAATTTCGAACTTCGCCGCCGCCTATGTCCTGCGCGTCGCGAAAAAAACACGACGGGAGACTGAGGACGAGAATGATGAAGGAACGCAAAACAAGATAAACACCATTCATCGAAACTCCGCGCAGATGTCTTGGGTCGGCGCTGGACCCCCCCAGTACTTGGCGCGCGGAGCGCGCCAGTGGCGGTGCCAGAGGCGCCGCCAGGGGGGCCCAGCGCCGATCCAAGAAATCCGCGCGGACCTCCGAGAAATTATATCTATGCAGTGTTTTGTTGTTCGAGTTTCGGACGAGAGTGATGTCATGATGCGATTGGCTTAGAATACGCTCCAGGAATTCTTGAGCATCTCGCGGCCCTCGCTTCTGCAAAGGGTCTTGGAAATCCTGCCAATATTGGGAAGCAACATTCTCGTGACCTCTTGCTCCTCCTGGATTTGGGAACTTGTGGCCCCCTCCGGGGCCTCTGCAGGACCCCGGT